GGACTGAACTTGCAAACCTTTCTGCCTCAGCCTCCCAAGTTGCTGGGATTACAGGCTTGTGCCGCTGCACCCGGTGTCTTCGTTTTTTAACTGTATAGTGGGGGTGATGATGACACTTCTCTAAGTAGGCTACTTTTGAAGCTATGGGGGAAATAGGAGCGAATACGCATCTCTTAAGTGTACACCGGAGAAAGCCACTTCTCATCTGTAAAATAGGAATAATGTCCACTTTACAGTGCTGTGCACAACCTGCCCCCGCCCATCGTGGGCATTCTACTTCATGTCCCGCTTTGCCTCGCTTTCTTTGTTTCATGCCATTCGTTATCTTTTGTAATGTACATAGAAAATGTGCGGATGGGGATGATGTAGCTAAGTGGTAGAGTGCTTGCCCAGCATGAGTGAGGCCCTTGGGTTTGGACCCCAGTACCTCTAAAAAGGTAAAAGACAATTCCCAAGATAGAAATATAGACACATGGCTGTATAGCATATTCGCAAATATACTGGTATGACTGGGTTATTGTTTTCTTTTATTTTTGGCTGAGATTTCCTTTGATCCTGTATTCTTAGCCCCTAGGACAGAGCCTGACATGACTTGGCATATAATGGCTATTTGCTGAAGGAATATGTGAGGGTCAAATGAGGCGATGTATATAATGTGCTCAGCCACACCTCACGGGATTCTGTGGGCTTCCCCCATCCCATGATTCCTGGTTAGTTCTGTGTGCATCAGGCTGCCTTCTGCTCACTGATTTGGTTTTCCTGACAAGGGGGTGTGCGGCATTGTAGGCATGAGGGTGCAGGTCGTTGGAAACTAAGGTCTTTGCAAACTAAGGACTCCACTTTCTGGTTCGTGATCAGCCGTGAGGTTTAACGTGATTGTCCCATGTGTGCACAGACCAGATCACCTCAAGAGATGGCAACAGAAGCACATGATGTTAGGGAGGCTTCCTCTGGGTGCCTGTGACCCCTCAGTGCTGCAGCACCAGGCTAGAGATTTGGGAATTTCTGTTGCAGGACACCGACTCCAAGGGCACAGTGAAAACTGAGAAGCTGTGCATGTTGCCCCGGTCTCACCAGCAGGCACGATATCACATTTTTGGAAAATTGCCAATCCCTGAGGGGAAAATTTGCCTTTCAGTGGAGTTTTTATTTAATTTTATATATCTGCTTTAGAACCTCTTCTTCTTTCCTGTGAACTTTCCATGCTTGGCCCTTGCCCATTTTATTCCTCCTAATGTGTGTGTTTTGTCGTTTATTATTATCTCTAGGTGCTTTTTTTTTTTTTTAAATTGTTGATAGATCTCTATTTATTTATACGGGATGCTGAGAATCGAACCCGGTGCCTCACACATGCCAGGCGAGTGCGCTACCACTGAGCCCCAGCCCCATAGGTGCTTTTTTCTGTTTGTTTGGTAGTGGAGAATGAAACCAGAGGCACTTTACCACTGAGACACATTCCCAGTCCTCCCCCTTCTTCAGACACTAAATGGCTTAGGGCCTCACTAAGTTGTTGAGGCTGGCCTCAGACTTATGATCTTCCTGCCTCAATCTCTAGAGTCTCTGGGCTTAGAGGTATATTATACCACACCCATCTAGGAGCTATTCACATATTAGAAAGTTACATTCTTTTTCCATATGCAAAATAATATTTGGCTCAGTGGTTAAGCATGCCTGGGTTCAATCCATGTTACAAAAAAAAAAAGCCACTGAAAACTTCAGCCTCTACCTTTGCCCTTCTTTTTTTTTTTTTTTTTTGATATTTAGTTGTCTATAGACCTTTATTTATTTATACAATGCGGTTTTGAGAATTGAACCAGTGCCTCACACATGCCAGGCAAGTGTGCTACTGCTGAGCCAGAGCCTCAGCGTTTATTCAGAAAGCAGGCAGCATCTGCTCATTTCCAGTAAAAAATCTCTCTCTCTCTCTCTTTTTCAATTCCCCGTACCTACCTGTACCTATCTATCACCACAGCCCCTTTGGAATATTTACAAACTGGCCTGGCCATCTTGTACAGGTATCAGGAATATAATTTTTCTTTCACATTGTAGGGAATAAAACTTTTGAGGGCACTGACATCTTTGTCATCACCCAGTCACCGCAGTCCAGTGCAATTCCCAGGTACCAGCAATACACAACTGAGTTAAATAGCTCATGACCTTTGCCCAGGTTCCAGGTGGATCTTCTTGGACTCCTTTATTATTATTATTATTTTTTGGTATTGGGGATTGAACACAGAGACACTTTACCACTGAGTCACATCCCCAGCCCTTTGCTTTTCATTTTGAGACAGGCTCTCACCATGTTGCTTAGGGCCTTGTTCAACTGTTGATGTTGGCCTCAAACTTAGGATTCTCCAGTGGGCTTCGTGTTTAATTTAGCACAGACCTAACAGGCCAATAGTAATTTGCTATGTGAGCCTTTAAAAATCAAGAAACACTAGGACAATCCCTCCTGGAATTTTGGTGTGCAACGGAAAGTGGACTTGATGGTCAAAGACAAAGCTGAAAACCATAGTTGAAATAGTTCAGTTTTTAGCAAGAAAGTGAAAAGGAGCAGAAAGCGGCATGAGAGACTGACTTGCTTTGGGAAGAAACGAAGATATTTCAATAAAAACCAGGGAAGAGAAAAATCCAAAACCAAGAAAGTTATTTGAAGGGGCAGTGTAGAGGCTGATTTTTAAAACAGTATACAGGTTCCCCCAGAGGGGTGCACCGTTCCTGGAAGTACTGCAATACCGGGTCGATGCGTGGAGTGGACGGAGCAAGCTCCTATTCCAACTCCCTGCTCCAAAAATCCATTTAATATATTGTCCTCAGATAGAGGACGTATCAGATATTAAACTGATAAGAACAGATACTACACTTGATCTTAGCCAAAAGGCCGAGAAGCGATACTGTACCGCTCGCCCTTCGCCCTCACCGCCCTCCGCTCGCCCACTTTCAACTCGCGGTGAGCACCGCTTCGCCTACTCCTACTCTCTTTTCCCCGTGTCTCTTTCGGACTCACACGGGATCCCCTGGGCCCATGTGCAGGTTCACTATTGGCCCCACCTGGAACAAGCAATTTTGACAATCTCTAGCGGCTCCGGCGTTTCAGGGCGGAGGATGCCTCCACTACTTTGCATACCCCGCCCCGTCCCCAGGAAGGCGTGGCTACCGCCAGGGACTTCCTCTCTTCCGCGCACCCACTGACAAAAACAGAACCCCGGTATGAAGATGTGAATTTGCTGTCAACATACATTATATACAAACAGAGATATGATAAATTGTGATATAAAGGTGTATTAAGAATTGTATGTAAAAAAATATAAGAGAGCTCATGTGTAATGGCATAATTTGGCGTGAACATTCTTTATATAGTTACGAAAAATTGTGCTGTGAATGGATATTTATGAATGTAATGCAATTCACTATTGTCATGTATGTAAGAAATAAATAGATGAATAAATTAAAAAAAGAAAAAAGCAAGATCTGAGGAGAGACAGGATTTTTTTTAAAGAAGTATTTTTTTTTTTTTTTTAGAGAGAGAGAATTTTAATATTTATTTTTTAGTTTTTGGCAGACACAAGATCTTTGTTTGTATGTGGTGCTGAGGATCGAACCTGGGCCGCAGGCGGGCGCGCTATCGCTTGAGCCACATCCCCAGCCCCAAAATACCTCTTAATTGCAGTCAAGGCCCCCATTCTGCTTCTCACAAAGCCTTGAACCCAAGCCTGGAATCTTGCTTCTTGGTCTTGACATTCTTTCTAGGACTGGGGCCATATCCCCTTATTTGTGTCTACAGGGCCTAGGAGTTGTCTTTTATACTCCATAAAGACTTGGCCTGGGAGGCCAAAAACCACCCTCCAACAAGGGCACAGAAGGAATCACTTCCATCTTCTCTTGTCTCTGGTAGCTCCCCAGGCTCCTGCATGTCCATGTCAGCTCAGTCCTTCATAAAGGGTAAGTTTTCTAGAGAGTACCATTCTACCATTGGCTCCTCTGTTGAGATGACCCCCCCTTCACTTCCTTCAAATTTTCAGCCACCTCTGCACATTGCTTTCAAGAATCCTCAGCCCCAGCCCCAGCCTGTCCTAATCCCCTCTGGCAATTCCCTTCTCCTCCCTGAGTTTCTGCTTTCCTTTATTTCAGGCACTGATGTGTCCATGTGGAAGACACCCCACTGACAAGATGGATGAGGCAAGGCTGAACAAGGCCTTAAGGTGGCTTCAGATGAGCTCTTCTTAATCTTCCTACCCTGCAGCCTCCTCCTGCTTCCACATACTTTGGACCTCTTGCGAGGCCCTCAGTAAATGTATGGAGAATGTCATTAAAATTTTGCTTAGATAATGTTCACTTTAATATTACATACTCACACAAAAAGGTCAAGCAGGGTGCATTTTCCATCCCTGAGTTCAAACTGTAGGAATAGCTCTGCCAGAAAGGAAGACCTCAGCCAGGCCCTGGGGCACATGCCTCTAATCCCAGAGGCTTGGGAGGCTGAGGAAGGAGGATCATCAAGTTCAAAGCCAGCCTCAGCAAAATAGGGAGGCCCTAAGTAACTTAGTGAGACCCTGTCTTTAAATAAAATATGAAAAAGTCTGGGGATGTGCATCAGTGGTTAAGCACCCCTGGGTTGAATCCATGTTACCAAAAAAAAAAAAAAAAAACCACTGAAAACTTCAGCCTCTACTTTTGCCTTGCCTTTTTTTTTTTTTTTTTTTTTAAATATTTAGTTGTCATAGACCTTTATTTATTTATACAAGGCGGTTTTGAGAATTGAACCAGTGCCTCACACATGCCAGGCAAGTGTGCTACCGCTGAGCCAGAGCCTCAGGCCCTATACTTTGCTTTTATTTAGGAAGCAGGCAGTGATAAACATATCTACCAGAAGGTAGCATCTGCTCCTTTCCAGTAAAATCTCTCTCTCTCTCTCTCCAATTCCCTGTACCTACCTGTACCTATGTATGACACAGCCCCTCTGGAATCTTGACAAACTGGCCTTGCCATCTTGTCCTGTATCAGGTATATAATTTTTCTTTAACATTGTAGGGAATAAAACTTTTGAGGGCACTGTCATCTATGTCATCACTCAGTCACCACAATCAAGTGCAACTCCCAGGTACCAGCAATACATAACTGAGTTAAATAGCTCATGATCTTTGCCCAGGTGGATCTTCTTGGACTCCTTTATTATTATTATTTTTTGGTATTGGGGATTGAACACAGAGACACTTTACCACTGAGTCACATCCCCAGCCCTTTGCTTTTCATTTTGGGACAGGCTTTCACCGTGTTTCTTAAGGCCTTGTTCAGCCTTTCCTCATCCTCTGGTGTTGTCGGGTACTCCAGTGGGCTTCGTGGTTCAATTTAGCATAGACCTAACAAGCAGAATAGTAATTTGCTATGTGGGCCTTAAAAATCAAGAAACACTAGGACAATCCCTCCTGGAACGCACTGTAATAATCTGGGTGTGCCACAGAAAGGGGACCATGATGGTCCAACACAAAGCAGAAAACCATAGATGTCAGAGTTCAGTAAGAGGCAGGAAAGACTAACTCCCTCTGCAGTTGCTAAGCAGTAAGGATTGCGAAAACAGAGGTTAAAAAAAAGTATACGAAAGAAAAGAAAAACTAAACCGACCCGTTTTAAGAAAATAACTCTTGAAAAAAATGCCTTTGGGACTGAGATCTGAGTGAAAAAAAGGGGAAAGTCGCTTAGGGCTCGCAGAAAATAAGATAAAGTGAGTTAGCCTAGTGGGGAAGCATATACTCTGACCTTTAAAACAGCACATAAGTTCCCCCATAGGGGTGCACCGTTCCTGGAAGTACTGCAATACCAGGTCGATGCGTGGAGTGGACGGAGCAAGCTCCTATTCCAACTCCCTGCTCCAAAAATCCATTTAATATATTGTCCTCGGATGGAGGACGTATCAGATATTAAACTGATAAGAACAGATACTACACTTGATCTTAGCCAAAAGGCCGAGAAGCGATACCGTACCACTCGCCCCTCGCCCTCACCGCCCTCCGCTCGCCCACTTTCAACTCGCGGTGAGCGCCGCCACGCCTACTCCCACTCTCTTTATCTCGTGTCTCCTTCGGGCTCGCAAGGGGTCCACTGCCCCCGCGTGCAGATTCACCATTAGCCCCACCTGGAACTAGGAATTTTAACAGTCCCTCCGGGCTCCGGCATTCGGGGCTGAGCAGCCCTCCCCTACTTTGCATGCCCCGCCCCTTCCCCGGGGAGGCGTGGCTACCGCCAGGGACTTCCTCTCTCGCCCCCACCCACTGACAAAACAGAACTCTGGGGGTCGGGGGGCCTGGGACTGGGCAGCTAGAGAGAGCTGTAAGCGGGCCCAATTTTCCCAAGGACGCCGTTGGGAGACATTTACAAAAGACCCCCAGGCTGTATGTTTTGTTGTTGTTGTTTTATAATTGTTATTGTTGTTTTTATAATTCCAGTCCTTTAAGATATTCTTGATGATTTTTTTAATTAATTTATTTATTTATATTTATATGGTGCCGAGGATCAAACCCAGGGCCTCGCGCGTGCTGGGCGAGCCACAACCCAGCCCTGACTGTATGGTTTTAATTTGTTCTTTGCCAGCGGAGCGGAAGACCAGCTTCGGACCTGACCGGTCTGGGAGAGGCTTGTTCTGAGTCAGGGCGATCCGGAGGTCCTCTCTGCAAGGGGGCAGGCTGGTGGCTGACAGCCGGAGAAGGCAGCAAGCTCTTCAGGTGGGGCGAGCCCCGCAGGTCAGAGGGAGGGATTCCCCCCAGCTGCAGAACCTTAGCCAGTTGGCGCTTGTAAAAATGATCGTCGTCCAGAGCTTGGTCCCCTTACAGCTGCCTCTGCCCGACGAGGTTTCCTTTCTCCCTGGTTCTCACGTGGTGGCTGGGCTACATCCTCAGCTCTTTTTTTTTTTTTTTTATCTTTTTTTTTTTTTTTGTACCAGGGATTGAACTCGAGGGCACTCGACCTCTGAGCCACATCCCCAGCCCTATTTTTGTAGTTTATTTAGAGACAGGGTCTCACTGAGTTGCTTAGTGCCTCCCTCAATTACTGATGCTGGCGCCACACTGGGATCCTCCTGGCTGGACTCCTGAGTTGCTGGTATTTCAGTCATGCGCTGTATTGCCCGGCTCAGTCCCTTTTTTTCATTTTTATGTGGTGCTGAGAATCGAAACCAGTGCCTCACACATACTAGGCAAGCTACAACTGAGCTACAACCCCAGCTCCCAGTCACTTCTTAATGGCAGAGAGAACTCCGTTTGGGATTCTCCTCCTTTAGGACGCCTTCCATAAGAAGGGCTCTTTCACACACACACACACACACACACGAATATATTGCTATAATTACCACCAATATCGAAAAAAATCAAATCTTCCTTAATTGTACACAAAATCCGTGCCTTCTGGATAATTTAATATTACGCATATGACTCACTTATCTTTAGCAGGCTCACTTCATAGGCTAAGAAGTTAGTTCAGAAAACCTAAGCAATTGGTCAAGGTCACACAGCTAGTATGAAACACCATCAGAATTTGGTCCTATGTTTCTTTTAACTACATGGGGTGGGGTGTCTTCAATTTTTGTTTTATTTGTGTGTGGGGATTGAATTAAGGGTGCTTCACCACTGAGCCACATCCGGAGCCCTTTTTAGTTTTTATTTTGAAACAGGGTCTTGCTAAGTTCCTGATGCTGCCCTGTACTTGCGATCCTCCTGCCTCAGCCTCTGAAGTGGCTGGGATACAAGTGTGAACCACTGTGCCCAGGGTCTTTATTTTTTAATACTGTATAGCGGGAATGATAACACTTCTCTAAGTAGGCTTCTTATGAAGCTACAAGGGGAAATGCAGAGTGTGTAGGAATTTGTTAAGTGCATGCCAGAGAAAGCCACTTCTCTTCTGCAAAATAGGAATAATATCCATCTTACAGAATCTCCCCCTGCCTGTCCTGGGCATTCTTACTTCTTGTCCTACCTTGCCTGGCTTTCTTTTTTTTTTTCCATTCATCTTCCTCTATCATATAGGGTCTTGTGCATGCTAGGCAAATGCTCTACCTCTGAGCTAAATTGAGCCCATTTTTTATTTAATTTTAAAAAATGTTTATTTTTTAGTTGTAGTTGGACACATACCTTTATTTTATTGATTTTTATGTGGTGCTGAGGATCGAACACAGAGCCTCTCCCATGCTAGGCAAACACTCTATTGCTGAGCCACAACCCCAGCCCTAATTTTTATATTTGCTTAAGAACTGCTCTTGTGTGTGTGTGTGTGTGTGTGTATACTGTGTGTTTTGGGCCTTGTGCATTTCCCTTCCTAAATGCAGTTTGTCTTTTATAATTATTTCTGGGAGATCTTTATATTTTAGAAAGGTACTTTTTCTTTAGTATGTAATTTTTTTTCTTAATTTGGTACCTTCGTTATCCTGTGTGTTATTTTAAGTTTTTATTATGGAGATTTTTTAAAAATAATTTTTTGGTTATACATGGACACAATATCTTTATTTTGTTTATTTTCGTGTGGTGCTGAGGATTCAACCCAATGCCTCACAAGTGAGAGGCAAGTGTTCTGCCACTGAGCCACAACCCCAGCCCCTTATGGAGATTTTGTTGTGTGTGTGTGTGTGTGTGTGTGTGTTTTAGTGTAGTCAATTAATTATTCTTTTCTTGCATGTTTTCTGAAGTTTGAGACATCATTAAAAAACCTTCCGGTTAACGTGAATTTTCTCAGTTTTTTTCCCCTAGATTTTTTCTTTTTCCTATACTAGGGATTGATCTTAGGGCTTTGGGTATGCTAGTTCAACTGTATACCAATAAGCTACTGCCTCAGCCCTATGGTTCCATTTTTTTTTTTTTTCACTTTGAATTTTTGACCCACTTGGTATTATCTTTGTGTTTTGAGATAGGACTGCAACTGTATGCTATCTCGATAATTACTCGGGTCTTGCAACAATATATAGACTGACTCCATGACTGCCCACATAATTTGTTGGGTCTGATGTAAAATGAAAATGAGAGTCCTTTAAAAAAACAAAAGAAAAGAAAAGAAAAACATGCCATTGCAAAGTAGGGTGACTATGGATAACAAAAATGTAGTATAGATTTCAAAAATCTAGAAGAAAAGATTTATTTTTTGGTGCTGGGGATTGAACCAAGTGGCATTTTACCACTGAGTAAAATACACAGTCTTTTTTATTATCTTGGGACAGTTGCTGAAGGTGATTGGCTGGCACACGGTGGGCACTCAATAATGAATGACAGGCCCTTTTTTTTTTCCTCAAGATACTAAGGATGGAACCGAGCCCATCTCAGCTGTGGGGGGAACTGATTCAAGAAGCTGGACACGTGGGTGCTGAGGGCCAAACATGGGGAGCTTGTTCTAGTTCTTAAAATAAGGGGGACGGTCCACTGGTGCCTTTATTTGAGCTTCACCACCCCCTAGGGGAGCTGTGTCATCAAGACCCAATTCCCTTTTCTCAGCAGTGGGGGCAGCAGAGAGCAGCATAGGCAGTCCATGCCAGAAGGGCATTTATCCATTTTGTGCTTACCTGTCCCATGATAAAACCAAGGTCTAGAGAGAGAAAGTCAAGGACACCAGGTGGTGGACAGACCGAGGCTCAAAGCCCAGCCTTCCTGTTCAGAGCCACTAGATCAGGTGGCTACACTCCATGATGGTGTCTGGTTTTATCCCAAGATGAACATTCCCTGTACCCCCCACTTTCATATTTTTACATGTCAGAAAACAGGATGCATCTTATGTTTGATGCCCCAGAAAGCAGTGCTGCCATTCTGGGACAGAGTCTGTCTTCTTTGCTTTCTTAGGGGTACAGAAAACAATAATGCCTCTCACAATCCATGACATGTTAGACATTGTGAAATTTTATAATAAAAAAGTCTCCATTGAGTCCTGTGTTTGACAGATTTTTTTTTCTTTTTGGCCATACTGGGGATTAAACCCAGGGCTCACTCATGCTAGGCAAGCACTCTAGCATTGAGCTACATCCCCAACCCTTTTTATTTTATTTTGAAAGAAGTTCTCACAGAATTGCCCAGTCTGGTCTCAAACTTGAGACCTCAGTTTCTTGAGGAGCTAGGACTGCAGGCATGTTCCACTGCACCTGGCTCTCCATTGCAATATTTTTAGAGTTATTTTATATGAATATAAATGTGCTGTGAAGATAGATATCCAGTAACTAGCCTCTATTTCATCTATTGCATCTGGCAACTCTCATAAACCTATTGTTGCAAACAACAGCACTCCTTGGTGCTGGGAGAAGGGACCAGCAACTGTTTTACCAAAGGAGAAAAAGATCCAAAAAGGTTTAGCATCCCTCTGGGCCCAGAGCAGAGCTGTGAAGTCCCTATCAGCTGTTCATATTTGGATGCCCCACTATGAGAGCTGGTATTTCCAGGCATTCCTTGAGGTCAACAAATAACCTTCACAGGGAAGCCTCCAAGACTGTGGTCTGCCTAAGTCCCCTCAGCAAATATGTGACAGAGCCAGGATTGAATTTGAATCTGTTTAATACCAAAGTCCAAGGTAACTCCACTACACAGCTAGGATTAACAGGTTCTTTGGAGCTGATCTGATACAAAAGTTGCTTTCCACCCTTCAATGAAGGTTAGTGGATTTTGTATTTTCTTTTATCTTGACTCAACACAGACATTTATGGAAGGGGGAGAGTGAGGAAGAAGAGACAAAGGAGTGAGGAAAAGTACTTTCAGAGACTTTGGAGGGAGAGAGGGTCAACAGAGGGCCAGTGGTTGCTGCTGGAAACCCCTCAGGAGAAGTAGGGGGGGGAAAAAGCCAGAAAGAAAAATGAGGAGACTTCCCTGCAGAATTGTTCCTGGGGCCCACTGAGACTTCACACTAAGATGGGAAAGTGCCTTCTATCTGCTCAGGACCCTGGAGAGAAAGAAAGGAATTTAGCAGACTTACAGGTGTTTACCAGGAGCCTTGAGAAGAACAACCCCCCCACGCCACCAAGGCAGGGCGGGGGACCTGCCCAGTTGCCCTGGCAGTGGCCATATTGTGAGGTGGTTGTGGTTATAGGCAGTGCATTTGGGGTAGGAGGTGACAGAGGTGGTGGGGGCACTGTCCTGGGCTGCCTGCCCCCACCTCCTGTTGGGGCTTCCACCATCCCACCATCATGGGTAGTGCCTACCACTGGGAAGCCCGGCGCCGACAGATGGCTTTGGACCGGAGGAGGTGGCTAATGGCTGAGCAGCAGCAGCAGCAGCAACAACAACAGCAGCAGCAGGAACAGGTACATGGGAAGGACCAGGTCCAGCAGGGTTCTCCATGGAGTAGGAAGAAAACGGGGAAGACAATCCCCTAGGGAGAAGGCTGCTATTTGGTGAATGTTGCTTACTGGGGTAGGAGGGAAGCAAGGTCATTTAGAATTCTCTCAGAGAAACTATGGTGGTGGTGGTGGTGTTATCACCTTAGTTTTGCTGTTGTAGGCTGGTGGGTACAGGGATATTTGGCCTGGGAGGGTTTTTGTTTGTCTGTTTGGGACTGAGAATTAAACCCAGAGGTGCCTAACCATTGAGCTACATCCTCAGCCATATATATCATATATATATATATATATTTTTTTTTTTTTTTTTTTTTTTTTTTTTTTTGAGACAGAATCTCACTAACTTACTTAGGGCCTCAAAAAGTTGCTGATGCTGGCTTTGAACCTGCAATCCTCCTGCCTCAGCCTCCCAAGTCACTGGGACTACAGCATGTGCCACTGCACCCAGCATGGCTGAAAGGTTTTGAAGCTGGGCTGTCTAATATAGTTGCCACCAGCCTGTAGGCTATTGAGCTACTGCAATGTGGCTAGTGAGAATGAAGAGCTGAGTTTACTATTTTATATAAATTTGATTAATTTAAATATAAAATTTTTAGAACAAATATTCAACTTACATATTAGAAAAATTTTAGGAGTGTTTGGTGTAACTGAGATGTCTAAATCTACATTATCTTCTTCTTTTGTTTTAAATACTTTTTAGTTGTATATGGACACAATACCTTTATTTATTTATCTTTATGTGGTGCTGAGGATTGAACTCAGGGCCTCACACATGCTAGGTGAGTGATCTACCACTGAGCCACAACACGAGCCCCCTAAATCTCCATTTTCTACTGTAAATTTTATGAAATTTAAAGAAGATCAGAAAGAAAAAAAAAGAAGTAATTAGAGATCAACAATTTTGGTGAAAATTTAGTGTTCAAATGAAGATGTGCTATTAAATATAAAAGGTGTACTGTGTTTTGAAGACTTGGTATCAAAACAAAGAACATAAGATATTAATTTTATTTTTTGGTACCAGAGATTGAATGCAGGGAGCTTAATTACTGAGACACATCCCTAGCCCTTTTTATATTTTATTTGGAAACCAGGACTTGTTCAATTGCTTAGGTCTCGCTAAGTTTCTGACTTTGAACTCCTGATCTTCCTGTCTTGGCCTCCTGAGCTGGTGGGATGACAGGCATGTGCCACTGAATGTGGCTGAAATATTAATATTTTCATATTGATCACAGGTTTGGGATGTATTTGGTTAAATAAAATATATTAAAATTAACAGTACATGGTGATATCCTCCTAATCCCAGTACTTGGGATACTGAGACACGTGGAGTGCAAGGTCAGGAACATCCTGGGTAATTCTGGATGGAATCTCAAAAAGAAAAGAAAGAAAGAATAGGCCAGTAGATGTAGCTCAGTCTTAGAGACACCCTGGATTCAATTCCCAGGACTGGGGTGGGGGAGGAAGATATATATATCTTTTTTTTTTTCCTTTTTCATCTGTTCCTCCTGATCTCGTGTGTGGCTACTAGAATATGTAAAATTACACATGTGGCATACATTGTTTTTATTGGACAGTGGTGGTTCAAATTAAGGACTTGGTGGCGGGCGGTGGCAGTGGCGGTTGGGAATGCCTGTAATCCCAATGGCTTGGGAGGCTGAAGCAGGAGGATGGTGAGTTCAAAGCCAACATCAATAATTTAGCAAGGCCCTAAGCAACTCAGAGAGACCCTGTCTCTAAATAAAATATAAAAATGGACTGGGGATGTGACTCAGTGGTCAAGCACCTCTGGGTTCAATTCCCTGTGTCCCCCCCCACCCTACCACCCCCCAAAAAAAAATCAAAGTAAGGACTTATTCTTTATCCTCTGGCAATGAAAATTCCTTTCAGTGCCCGGCTCCAAGCCAGGCTCAGATGCTCAGACAGTGCCACCTCCTGGGAAGAGGCTGTGCTGGGTGGCACAGTCCCAGGAAATACTTCTTGGGTTTTGTGGCAGGTGAGGGAAGGCAGCCTGGGCCCCAGCTTCAACCTCCAACTGCAGGGAACAGAGATGCTTCTAACCACCCTGGCCTCTCTATTCACTTGCCTCACTGTCTCAAACCTCTGTGGCCTCTGGGTGACAGGGTGGGAGGGTGGAAGATGCCACTTGGCTGGAGCTTCTTGTCAGCAACCAAAGAAACACCAAGTGGAGGAATACCGATCTGAGAAAAAATCCCAAACTTATCAGGAGTTGGAGGAGTCCTGGGCTCCCTCCGCACAGCTGCACCAGCCATTCGTGCAGCAGAAGCCACCAGCGCAGCCGAAAACACCAGCAGAGCCAAAGCCACCAATACAGCAGCCACGGCACCAGCCAACACAAGCACAGCTTCTGCTGCTGCAGCCAGAGCCACTGCCACCACCGCCACCACCACCACCACGGCCACCACAGCGAAGTGATCAGGACCCGGTTACTCAGTGCAATTTTCTGTCCAGTGTCCAGGATTCCCAAAGGCAAGGACCCCAGCCTGACTCACTGCGGGCTCCTGAAGCTGGAGGGCAATTGTATAACCTCTCAGGTCCTGGTAAGTGAGGCTCCTGGGAGGGGAGAGGCTGAGGAGAGAACCCCTGGATCCCATCCCAGCCCCAGATCCAGAATCCCTATCTGCCACCACAGCTTGTCCAATCCTCCTCAGCACCCTCAGCCTTTACTACCTCTGTAGCTACTGCCTCTGGGTGAATCTGTATCAAACTGGGGCTGCAAAGAAGCCTGTCATCTTCTGCAGAGGGTGTCTGACGTGGTGTCAGCCTCTCTTCCACAGTGAGGACGACAGAAGAGGGGGTGGGGATGGTGGGATGTGAGTTGTAGGCTTATCAGCAGATATATTGAGCCCTGGGAGATCGGGAACAGGGAACCACAGCATGGCTTCCTAGTTCCGAATCTTCAGGGTGGGTTCAGAATGTGTTTTGGGGCAGGGAGGGGTCTGCCCCTGACCATCAGACTTGTACTGGGCCCCAGACATGATAAAAAGTCCAGTCCTGATGTGTTCTTTTCTGAGAAACTCCGGGATGAGCTGGGTACAGTGGAGCATGCCTGTAATCCCAGATACTGAGGAGGCTGGAGCAGGAGGCTCAAAACTTTGAGGCCAACCTCAGCAACTTAGTGAGACCCTGTCTCAACCTAAAAAAAAAAAAGGCTGAGTTTGTAGATGTAGATGTATAGTTTAGTAGTACTACCAGAAAAAGAAAAAAGAAACTTTCAGATGAGTAACTTATGCTTGTTTCATCACCAGGTCTCATGAACGCCTGCCTTTCTAGCCTTAACAAACACCCTGGATATTCACGTTTCAAGGTGAGACAGAGCACAGAGGAAGAGAAGCTCTGGCTGAGTGTTTGAGTGTGCCCTTGTGTGTGTGTAGTCCACAGAGGCATCCTTAGCAGGAGACAGGGAAGGGAACTGGAATTATTTCAAAGTCACTCTGAATAGCCAATTTCTCTATTC